AGGGCGGGCAGAGCGGGCAGCGGCACCCACCAACCCGCCTCCCGCCTGCGCCGCTGCCTCCGCAGCCCGCCGCCCGGCCCGCCGCTCCGTGCGTGAGCGAGCGACTGCTGTGTGTGTAAGGCGCTACGACAGGCGCCTGAGATACAGCTGCGGATCAAACACATCCGGCCCTCGTGCAGCTGCCTGGAGACAGGGACAGTCAGCAGAAGTGAAAGGATGTGTCAGACAGGGCTATGGCCGGGGCGCGGGGGGGATTGGGAGGACTGGAGAGCCGAGGGGGATTTGAGTGGCCCGGGTGTTCTTGAGCTCCGCATTCTAGACTCTCAAATCTAAGTCTAGAAAGGAATTCTAGACCCTAGGGATCTAGGAGGGAAAAGGACAGTAAAAATCAATATGCAATTGGTGGCTGTTGGTGAGAACCGCTAGGAGGAGACGCAGAAAGGTGAGGGGAGGAGGAGGACGAGGAGGATGCGGAGGAAGAGGAAGCAGTTCACGGCCTGGTGATTCACCGGCTCATTCATGTCAAGTTGGACAGCTGGGTCTTGAGAGCTCCCAAGTACCAGGCTCCTGAACGCGCTGATTTCCTCCCTGTGCAGGGTGGGGGAGAGAAGCCATCCAATAACCGCTGCAATTAATACCCCCGAGGCTTCCTCTGGGAGGTGGGCAAGGCCTCCGTAAGCCGCCACCCTGTTTCCCCTCTCTGGCTCCTTTCTTCATTTCTAAAATGAAGTGCTTTGTTTCCATCACGGTTCATATAGCCAGCTTATTGCACCTTTCTAACCTGCCCATGTCCCGTCGCTGCCGTGCTGTGGTCCCCCACCATCACTTCCCTCCCTACCACCTCCTCCCTGTTCTCTCTGCTCCCACCTTTGCCTCCTACAGTTCCTGCATGGTCCCCGCCACCACAACTATCACAACTATTCATACGCTGAATCGCTGAATCGCTTCAAACCTTCCCAGGACTTCCCCTCGCTTCAGGCTGACTCCTAAACTCCTGACCCGAGGCTCTGATTTGACCCTGTTCTCCTCTCTGTTTGTAGACCAGTGGAGGAAAACAAGCAACTAAAAGCAAATTTTTCAGAGAGAATCTCAAACTACATTGAGTGTGATAAAGGAAAGGAGCAGTATGGTGTGGTGGAGAGAGACCGGCTGATCACCCCCCCAGGGGGTCGGGGAGGAGAAAAGGAAAGATTGAAAAGGACCACAAGGGAGAGGGAACAGTGGTGTGGATGACCGGGGAGGAGCGGCATGGGCTGAGTTTAGGGAGCAGCAAGACAACCAGAGTGGCTCGGACAGAGGAACCAGGTGCTGTAATGGGGACCAGGCCAGCTCATGTGGACTCTGACTTGGCTTTCACCCTGAGTAAAGTAGATGGGAGCAAGGCAGAGGGTAGTGCTGGGAGGGAGGAGGCCAGAGAAGTGGCTGGACTCAGAGTCTTTTTTCCCAGGTCATGCAGTCAGCAGCGTCCGATGGTTTGTACCTGGCAGGTGACAGACAGGGCAGGGTCAGTTTCCCTCCCGCTTCATGATGGCATTCCCTGTGTCCGACGTGGCTCCCAGCTGATCCCTCCACTGAGCTAGATGGCTGAAGGCGACTTCTTCCTAGAGATCTGGGTTTGTCCACAGGAGGTTGCAGAAAGCAATAAAGCATTCCTGACTAGAGGAAAGAATGACTCTATAATGGTGAAACTTCCAGGCATCACTGCAGAACACAGTCATCCTGGTACATCTAAAATGATAGCCAGAGGTGCCTTCCTTCTCCACTCTGCCCAGCCAAGTTTACAGAGCACCTACTACAAAGAGCCCCAGAGGTTCCCAGCTGTCAGGATTACAGATATGGACACCGAGGCTCAGAAAGGGGGAGTGGTGACAGTGTCGTGCTGGAAAATGTCCCCTACAACAGGATAGAAACCTCTCTGTCCAACTCCCAAACCAATGGGCTGTGCAAACGCTTGTCTGAGCTCGGTGTGTCTCATATTTTCTGTGCATGTTCCAACCCACATACATGGCTTGTGTTATAGATCTCATGGTGTTTCTTCTTTTTCTCTAAGTTCCATCTGTGTCACCATGAGAACACCAGTCTGCAGCTCCTGGCAGCTGCACCATTGTCTGTAAGGATGTGTGTCCCCTCTTCACATTCCGCCCCCCCCCCACCGCCCCGTGTCACTCAGATGGCCTCCAGCTCCCCCACCATAATGAGGCGAATGCACCCAACAGCAACTTCCCACACAGTGACTCCCGGACTAGGGTGGGTGATATTCCTGCAGGCTTGGGCTTGATGGGACATTGGGTGGGTAAGGATGGATGTAACTAAGGCACCCAGGCCTCTTTCACAGGTCTGCCTGGGCTACATCTCACCCCACTGCTTGGGAGTCCCTGCAGCTCAAGGTGCAGAAGTCTAGGTTCTGATATCTAACAGGCACACAGCGACAGCTCAGTGGATTTACTCTGCGCTCCTCTGATTACTACTGAGGCTGAGTTTGTCTTCCTAGGCTCCTCTTGCACAAAACAAGTCTATAAATTGCCTGTGCATGTCATGGTCCACTTTTCTATCGGGGCTCCTGTTTTTATTTTTAGATGGCTTGCAGGACTTCTATGTATAATCTAGATTTTAAGATCCTGTTGACTTCATATATTGCAAAAGTCTTCTTCCATTCTATCACCTGTCTATTAACTTTGTTCTTGGTGTCCTTTGTTAAAGCAAAACTCTTTGAGTGTGTCCAGAACAATTTGTTTTGGCTGTGTGGTTTGTGCTTTGACAGTTTTGTTTCAGTAGTGCTCCCTTATTAATTAATTTTATCTTTTTATCTTTTTACTTTAGGCTCTTAGTCAATTGCACATTTACTTTAAATTCTTAGTCATATGCACATATAACTCACATATGTTATTGGTGGAGGCTCAGCACTGTTTTTTTTCTCTAAAATTATCTAGGTTTCTGAAAATTGTCCATGAAATAACTGGTCCGGCCAGGCATGGTGGCCCATGCCTGTAATCCCAGCACTTGAGAGGCTGAGGCAGGAGGATCACCATGAGTTCGAGTCCAGCCTGGGCTGTGTATTGAGTTCAAGGCCAGCCTGAACTACGTGGCGAGACCCTATCTCAAAAAACAAAAAATTAAAAAATGAAGAAGAAGGAGAAGGAGAAGAAGAAATAATCAGTCCCTTCCCCCACTAATCTGTGGGACCACCTCTGCCTTGTGAAGCTCCCTCCCCACCTCTCCACCTGCATCTTGGTCTGTTTGCACCATACCCACGTGACTCTGTTTTATCCCTGGTGTGCCTGAGGATGTGGAAAGCCTGGTTCCTTTTTGCAAACTTACCTTTATCCCTTCTAAAGTTTTTTTTTGTTTTTCTTTTTGTTTGTTTTTGTTTTGATACCAGGGATTGAACTTGGGTCCTTCCACTTTCGAGGTAG